TATATATATATATATATACGTGTTCTCTACTTACATTCTTTAAGAAACATTTTAGTAGTTATCTACGTAATTATGTTGTAACGTGTATTTATTTATAATCATCTTGCAGTAATACTTATTTTCGACAGTAATCATAAATATGACAGAAATAAACATGAAAATAGCATAAACTTTATTTATAATCGATTAATATTAAACATTGGAAATAGTACATAGGATTCGCATCATCTGGTTTATTATTCTCTTTTCTTATGGGAATAATTGTTAATATTATGAATTTTAGCCTTTACAGAGTTGCTGTAACTCTGATATTTGTTTTCGAAGATGTGCCGCACGTAATGTATTTAAAGCTATTCTTTCCTCAAATGTAAGTACTAAAGGTCTAGTAATAATATCTGTGATATGAAGAAGTGCACGAGTTTTGACTGAAAATATTAATTAGATTTATTTCTTTCCAAATGTTTAAGTTGTAAAATGTATTCGCATACATACCAGCATTATTATGTATAGTAGCAAGAATATCTGGATGATTTCTACCAGCATCTGCTGTATCTTCTTCTTCTTGTACCAAAATTTTTGGTATATCTGTCATTGTCTACGGTTAAAAAAGATGAAAATATGTATTTATGACATTTTATTTTTTTATGTTGATTTAACTGGTTATGCATGGAGTCATTACGTAATAAAGAAGAAACTTACTTTCAAACATATATCTGATAATTCTGGAGTATATACAATTTCTAGTGGAACTTCTTTACATTTCCCATCGTGAGATTGAAAACAAATTAAAGATATTTCTTGTTCCTAAATAAAATAAATAGAAATTCATATTAATTTTTGATACACCATTGATAAATATATATATACGAATATTCAAAAACATATTTAATTTTTAAATAAGAATAATAGAAACACCTTTGAATCCTTGGCTTCAGAAAATACTGAAAATATTAAACCTACAAAATCGGGATCCATTGTTTGATAAGTTGCTTGAGTTCCTACATCTAGAATAAAAAATTGGGAAGTATCATATAAATATTTTATTTAGATCAGATTAAATATTATACGACACAAGTGTTACTCGTCAGATATTCACATACCTACGTGAGATGGAAATACAGTAATATGGGGATGGGAATGATACCATCCAAGAACTCGCATGGGACGGTCTAATTCAATAGTTAAACGATCAGCTTCCGCAGCTGCTTTTAATACTTGTTCAGGAGATATTTCTACACGGTCTTTTTTCTTGTCTAAACGATGCAAAATCATAACAGCAGATATATTTGCTATACCTTCAACGCACTAAAATGTGAGAATAAAGATGATTTAATTCGACAATTCAAATTTCTTAACAAGTATTATTAAAAAAATATAATCAAGATAATAAAAAATGCTTACATTTCCAATGAGTAAACCCATTACTTCAAATATTTCTGTTGACAAAGCATGGTGCAGACATACCATATATACATCTGCGTGTAATTCTACCTTTTCCAATGTTAACGAACACATTGTGTTTGATTCTGTAAAATTTTGTTAAACAGATGAAGTTGAATTATTGTGATAATACTGATTAATAATATTAGTGCTATTATTAATGATATATTATTTGATGTCAATATTTTAGTGATGTAAAATATTTAGAAATAAATATTAAACAAATATGCACATACTTTGTAGAAACAATAATTAATCTTTTAAATATTTATAAATATTTATATTATAGCACACCTTACCTTTGCTCAATAATTAAAAATCGATAAGAAATTTTGAATTATGCTTGAAACGCCGGTCGCAAAATATTTATTTACTTTAAAATTTTGAACGTCACTTAAACTTTCTAATTGATATAATACTATAGCAAGTCATTCCTCGTTTGTTTCAGTCTTGTTAATTAACTTATACGTAATTGTACTTCATTTTTCTAAAACTGTAATCATTTACAATTAAGTAACGAAACAATAAATAAAAAATAGTATTCATATACAACCATAAACTTACATGGAAAAAAAAGTGTAAATTTCCTTTCTGATCGTCAAATGGCGGCAGCCATTACTGCTTCCAGCGTTATCTTGTAGCGTATTTCGTAACGTGAGTGTTTGGTCACCTATTTAAAAAATTTACCGTAGGAACTATGGCAAGGAACCTTAACAGCAGAACAAAATGAATAAGTGCTTTTAATTGCAAACTATTTGTTCAATCAAAATCTATAATTACTCACTTTATTAATTAATTATTTAATTAGTTTATTACTAATTGAAAATAGAACAATTTTGTTTCCTCTTTCTAAGCAAAGCAACGAAGTTTGCAACATCTGAAAAAATGAATATGTGCTCTTATTTGCTTAATTAGTTGAAAATAATTATTACACTTTGAATAATTATGAAATGGCGACGTCATTAGTGGGAGATATGTTATACGCATGCGCAATCACAAGGCGCCAGCGCACTTTGAAAAAAATGAAATTACCCTGCAGGGGAGAGTTTAAAGTTTATCTCCAAAGTAACAATCTATGGGGTAGTGAAAAGAAGTAAGTTAATTGTTCATAATATGTATAAACAATAGGTAAATATTTTCATTTTTTCATTTTTTTCTGCTGTTGCGGTTCTATGCCAACTTTTTCGTAGTGAAGTATATAGAAACTCACAAGTCTTCTTTTTTATCTACCAAGCATCATTTTTGTTACCAAGGCATTAGCCTCTTCGTCATTTAGCCCTTTCTTTCTTCATGCCCTAAACGCTGCTGTGAGGCTTTTTTTAACATTTACTCGAATGCCTCAACAGATATTTGATCTAATCGATATGTCACACACACACACACACAAATTTTTAATGAAATAATATTATTCTATTATAAAAGAATAAATGATAGAATTTATTTGTATTTAATTAAATCAATACTTCTAAGAAATGAAAAAGTATTCAAAGTATATACTTAAATGGTTTATAACTTTTATATATAATGTATATTCAAACAAAATAATTTTAAATGATAAGAATTTCAATTATGCAACATAATATTATTAAAATTATTAAAGAACCAACTATTTCTGTTAAAAGTAATGATAACAGGAATTTTGTTCATACAGATAAACAGTACGAGAATGTCTACTTATTAATCTAAAAACCGCCATTATAACACAAATAGATAAAGAATATGTATTTGAAATATCGTATGACTGTAGGAACCATTATATTTATAAAAGAAAGATCAATAACATAAAGTATTTGACTAATAAAAGTGCAAGCTTTGCATTTTAAAATTCATTTTCCAATTATTTTTAAATATTATATCCATGCAAATATACCACGTTGAAAAATATCATTTTTATTGCCTTGTTTGATGTTCATCAGTTCACGAATGATTTATGCATATCACCTTCGAAATAGGAAGTTAAGATTATTCAATATTTTCCTGATAATCGTTAATAATATAGTGTAATACTATAGCTTATGACGAGCCTTGTATTATATTGTCAATGAAATGAAAACTTTTGCGGTTACAATCGGAACGTTATTTTAGATGCGCACAAAAAATATAATAAGATAGTGATGTATATTGTTCTAGATATAATAATCGATTACAATCTAAAGTGATTGTAGAGAAAGAAGTATTAACAAAATACATGACATATGTCTTTATAATCCTTAGAGTATTAAAAACAGCCAAAAAAAAAAAATTATATGATATCGCTACTGTGTGACTTCAAACTATGCATAAATGTATTTATGTGGAAGATAAAAGTATGCTTTATTGTTTAAAAGCGAAAGGAATAATAGTAACTTGCAAGAAAGAGCACGCATTCAATATATTTCATTTCTTTTTCTTCGTTTTTTTTTTTTAGGGTCTAGAGGGAGGAGGGTAAATGCACGCATTATATTAGTGTCTCTTTTGAAGGGGGTTGGGGGAGGGCAAACTTTGCTTTATGCGTAAAATATATAAATTATCAAAATAATGTATAATAATAATGCAACGAAAAATCACACTCTACTATTTACAGGATTGTTATCAACAGTTTGATCGAAATAAATCACTTATTGAAAACTCGATAGAATAAAACATGACATTGTTGATAATACAACATCGCGAAAATATATTGGCACAATTTTTTTTTTTTTTTTTTAATAAGAATTTGATAAACATTTAATTCGATTGATCGTGGATAAATGATCGCAGGAAAGGGTAAGTGAACGTTATAATTTCTCACTGTTTATTTCCCTTAACCTATGTATTCCTTTCGTGGATATTTTTTACTTTCTGATTTTCTCTTTCTCTTTTTTCTCTCTTTCGTTGTCTCATAAGGAACACAAAAGTAAAATTATTCAAATATTAAAAGGAGCTCGTTCAAATCACAACATCGTCAGCATCTGTAAAATTTAACAAAAAACGTTTACATATTAAGGAATAATTAATACGAAGAGCACAATATTATAGTTTTTTAAATTGAAAAAGATAAGTGTAAACGTTCGCGCTCGCATTCCACCATCGAGAATGATAGAGGAATTATTTCGGAAAAAGAAAGTTTCCTTATCTTTTATCGAAAGAAAATAATTATTGGTTTACGATAAATATTTTTGTTGTTGTCTATGCATACACACATCTATATATTAAATTAGAGACTTCATAATTTTTTGTTAAATCTGATTGACAAACGATTAAAAAAACAATAAAGAACATTGCACTTTTGAGACTCTTCATCGTATAACAATATATTATGCTTTTTCGATGTTTTATACTATAACTATGTATATACACACACATATACATATATATATATATATATTTATATTTATATATTTAGATACGGAATAAGTTTTTCAAAAATATATTCTCAAATTAAATATATATGCATATGTGTGGCTTATCCCGGTATACGTTTATATCGAAAATTAATGAATGTATAATGCACGCATGCATGCAAGCAAGCAAGCAAGCACGCACGTATGCACGAGCGTATATAAATGATACATGTTTCGAATTATTTCCATCTATATCAGTATTTATACAATCATCGAAATATACGGATTTTTTTTTTTAAAAGCAAACGAACGAACTTTGAAACAATGGATAATGTACTGAGAATGTTAATAAGGGAACTTGGCAGTTTAGGAATGAACTTAAAATCGATCGTTTTCTTATTTCTCTTGGATAAGTGAAGATAAAATGCTTCCTAAAAGCTTGATCATTTACTTTATCAAGCTTTATATAAACGAAGTTGAGAGAAACGTATATATACGATTAATTATAAAATAAAAGATATTCACAATTGATTTGTCAAATATTCTCCGATCATATCCCGCACCTGCTGCACGCATGCATGCATACATACATATATACATGCATGCATATATATATCTGCGTCGCATAATTCGCATATATTATAAATAAAATGTTCATAACGGTGTGCGCGCGCGGTCGCACCACCACCACTCAAAATTATAATTCGAGTAGAAGACAAGGCGATTATCGTAGAACAGGGGAAAATTATAGATAATAAACTAAGATAAATGCACGAAGAAGAAACTAAGGTGAGTACGAATAGAGTACAAAAACCTCTTAGATAAGAGAAGATATGAGAGAATTTTACTTTAACAAACATAAATATATATATATATCTATATATACATACATATATACGTACATGTATTTATATATGTATATTTATGTGTATTTATAAACGCGTGAAAAGATTAGCTGTGTATTACGATAATCTTTTAGCCTTTTTATCAAAGGAGAGATGCCGTTTGGTAACTCGATTGCAAGAGGCAATTATACAATCAACCTCGACGAATATATGAGGCATGGTAACTTAAATCGAAGTTTCTGGTCCCTATTCTCGAAATAATACATATACAAGATTAACGCGTTCGTTAATAAGTCCATCGCGTATACCGATTTTTAAAAAGAACTTTGCTCCTTCGTCTTTTTACTTTTTTTCTTTCTTCTCTACCTCTTCTTCCTTCTTCTTATTCTTCTTCTTCTTCTGTAACTTGTCCTACCGTCATGTGTTCATTTTTAAATTTCGGACGAACGTTTCCCTTGTAATGTGTAGGCACTCGAACGAGATGTGAAATAAAATTGGCCTCAGGAAACCCTTTGAAAGGACCACCAACACGGCACGAATTTCGGCACCCAAAACTTTTTTCAAACTTCACAGGGATTTTGGCGCGCCCGGATAACGAAATAAGTTTTTCAATACGAAATTCTATCACAGTTTTTCGCTTTCTTTCTTTCTTTCTCTCTTTCCTTCTTTTCTTTTTTTTTTTTTTCTTTTTATATATATATATGTTTATATTTTTCTATTCTTCTTTTTCATCTCACACTGATCGATACAACGTTGAGTGTCAAAATGACGTATGTTCGAAAGTCTTTTGAAACGAAAAGCGATAGAAATGTTTCAATATACGAACTTTCATGATGTTTTAATATAATGACGAATCCTTCGTTTAAATTCGATGGAATTTTAATATTCCCTAATATTTTCTATTTGATACTTTGCGATTTCTGACGCTAGATAAATTTCAAAGTCAAAGAATGAGCGACACGAGAATCAATATTTTAGATAATATTCATTTTTAAGTCTTAAATCTTCATTATTATTATTACTATTATTATTATTATTTCTTTTTTTTTTTCTTTCAATGGACGACAACGTAAACTTATTATTTATTATAATTATTGGATTATGCGTGTCTATACGAAAACAAAATATCTAGCGAGATATCTCGACTGTGGTGTTATCAGGTGTCACAGTATTTTTTCGCGTAGTTACTTTCGACGCGGCTCGTTTAAAACGATTTAATTATTATATAATAATATGTTATTTAACATCGAACGCGGACGCGGGCGCGAACGAACGAATGCGAGTATGAAGAGTTAACTTATATATTACTATAATTATATTAATAATAATAATAATAATAATAATAATAATAATAATAATCATTATTATTATTTTTCGTATCACCGCGTTTGAAACGTCCGAAAAGAATTTTATGATTCCACGGTGTATAGGGGAAAAAAAAAAAAAAAAAAAAAATATATACTCTCCTTTTGTAGTCCCTCGTTCTTTAACATCGTTGAAATATTCTGAATTGCGTCATTTGTAAGGTT